GTTGAAGAACAAGATAAAAACATGATTTTAGGATATGACCTGTTTTGTATTCGAATTCGAGTTATAATGCATAGAATATTGTATAGCCAAGGATGAAGTTTATTTAACGTATGATTCACCAAATTGTATAAACACTGTACCTCTGAAGGAGATAGAGATTGTATATTTTCTTTTTATTATGGAAAAATTCAATAAAGTATATTTAAAAAAAAAAAGATTTGTGGACTTCAACTCCCAGAATTCCTCAACCAACATGGCTTCTTGGCTGAAGCATGGCTGGCTGAGAAATTCTGGGAGTTTAAGTCCAGAAGTCTTAAAGTTCCCAAGTTTGGAGACCCCTGCTCTACAGGCTAGTCTTAGATAAGGAAACTAATTTTAATACTCCCAAGAGCCGTTACAAGTGTCCATTCCCATCGTATTAGAAACTTGTTATTTTTCATACACTCTCTTCCTTTGTGTTTTCTATGTTGTGATTTTTCCTAATGTTCCCTAGACACATTTTGTCACTTCACTCAAGATTGCACCCATAATTTTCTCATTGTATCAATATTATGACTATTTTTTTTCTTTTCCTTTGGTAAGAAAATGGTAAGCCAACCACGTACTTTGAGATTAAGTGGACCTTCATCCATAACCAAGCAATTATCAGTTGGTAACTATTGGGCAAGGCCCAATAAATTACTTAGTTATAATTATATTGGCCACTTGTGGCTTCTTCATCTTCCACAGGGATGTTGTAATGGTTTCTTTTAAGTATTGTAATTGCTTTCTCAATAACTGGAAAATAACTGAAAAGCTCAAGGTCTGTTGCTTATCAGAGAACTGTTGCTCACTGTAACAGCATTGCCAAAAAGGCATTAAGAATTGTTAACCTAATTTTGAGAAGCTTCTTCTCTGGTAACACTCTATTGCTAACTAGGGCATACAAAACCTTTGCCAGACCAATTCTCGAATACAGCTCATCTGCCTGGAATCCACACTGTGTATCAGACGTTAATACAATTGAGCGAGTCCAGAGGTATTTCACAAGAAGAGTACTCCACTCCTCTACTCACAATAGAATCCCTTATGCCACCAGACTTGAAATTTTGGGCTTGGACAATCTGGAACTGTGCTGCCTGTGGTCTGATCTAAGCATAGTTCACAAAATTGTCTGCTACAACATCTTACCTATCAATGACTACTTCAGCTTCAACCTCAATAATACACAGGTAAACAATCAATACAGACTCAAGATAAATCGCTCCAAATTCGATTGCAGAAAATAAGACTTCAGCAACAGAGTGGTCAATGCCTGGAATGCTCTACCCGACTCCATTATTACATCCTCAAACCCTCACAGCTTCAACCTTAAACTGTCTACCGTGGATCTCACCCCATTCCTAAGTGGTCCGTAAAGGGGGCATGTATAAGTGTACCAGCATGCCTACCGTCCCTGTCCTTCTGTCCCCATTTATTTGTATTCATTTCCCTCGTTCATGTCCATGTTCATATTCATACCTGCTTCATACTTGTCATTAGTTTGACAAACTAATAAATACATTAAATAAATAAAAACACAGATCTTTATATATACATATTTGCCAATATGTAATAGCCAGGGTATTGATTATTATTATCTTCATATTAAGATTGCTTGATGTACTACTTCTAGAAATGTACTCAATGTACCTGACATAAATGATGGTTTCACATAAACCATAAAAATAAAATTAACAAATCCTTAAAATAATAGAAAATTAAAATTCTGTTTATATTCTATTCATTTCTTTCTAAGACAGATTTTCTCCTAAAACTATCCAGTAGTACTATCAGTAGAAGTAATTTTCATAATCTATCAGAGAAATCAGTAGTAGTCCAAAATAAATGGCCTTGTTATGGAGATGAACTGTCATTGTCTAGCACTTCTTTTCCTAAACTTCCAGTCATGAGGGATTCAACCTCCCAAACTTCCAGTCTTTATTGCTGTTTTTGAGAACAGCATGAAATCTCTGTATCTCAAGTTGCCCAGGTTTTAAAAGATAGGTCTAAAAAGGTCTGGAAGTGAAACTACTGAATCTCATATCGTCTTACGTGATTATCATCTTCTTAGAACCTTAGAACCATGGGATGCCCTTTTTGGTTTCCTCATAATAAACTGGGGTGACATGGCCATGTGGTCAAAGTACACAAACTGAATTCACTCTCTTACTCATCCTTTCCTTTTCCTGCTTTTTCTTCTGTTCATCTTCTGTGATTTTTCTCAGAAATAATGGCAAATAGCAGTTATATAATATAAATATCTGAGTGGAGTATTTATTCTGAGATTGCTACTGCTGGGGCTTACAACTTGTCTGGCTGGTTTGACTATTGATTACTTGGGTAAGACTTCAGGTGCAAAATTATTTGATCTGTTGTTGGTTTCTGCCTCTAGGCAACATTCATCACTTAATTCCGTTCTTACAATCTATTGTACAATCTACAATCTCTGTTTTTTACATCATCTCTATTTTTCAAGTAATCAGTTTGCTGGCTGTACATGAAATGAATAGCAAGGTACAACCAGTGGCAAGCAAATCATTTTGATATGCAGCTGTGCTGGAGTGGTGGGAGAAGCTAAGCTAGTTTGTGTTACAATAACCCATGATTAATGTGATGCCTGAACACAGTAACTAAAAAGAAGTTCTTGAGTTAATGCAGAGCAAAATGGCAAGACAGTAATTCCAGGCAGGGAATTCCATTAATAATTGTAGAGACACAATATACCATCCTTGAGAGAATTATTGATCAAAAATGTTTGTTACACAGTGAATTATTCATGGTTAATGAATAGTGTGCTTAAAGAAAATGTGTACTGAAGTCGTGCCATAAACCTGTAAAAACAGGGAAGGAGTGATATTTAACTTTGCAGATGGAAGAAGTGATTGTGGATTCATACACAAGGTAGAGTCTTCATAACTGTGGTTAAACATCAGAAAGGTGACTAGCTGAATATGCTTTCAGTTGCTATATATAAGATTTAGTATCCCTGTCATTATTAGCCAAAACTATGTTTAACTTGTTTCAGAACACAGGTGAGAGCTTTTTAAGTGCAGAATTCCGATTTTTTATATTATTGAACAAATCTAACACTACTTTATATTAGGTTCCAGTAATCTTGTGCTATACAGGTGTTTTGGCCCATGACAGTTGCTTATTTTGGTCCATGCAGATTGGGGACTGACAGGTGGTAAAGACAAAAGCATCTGGAGGGTATCAGATAGCTTGATTTTGATTGTTATAGAGAGCTTTTGGATCTTTGGAAGTCTACAGTTAACTATTAGAGTTTGGAGAAAAAAATATTTGCAGGATTAATGTAATGTGTACTGAGTTTCCAATTTAGCTCCTTATGAATGTGTTTGGCTACAATTTTAATCACTATAGCTATTGATAGGAATTCTAGTCCTAAATATCGACACAGTATTGGGTCAGAAAAGAGAGCACCACATGGAGGTGGTTATTGACTAATAGCAGACCCTCTTCACCATCTTTTAATTCATATTGCTGTACTTTCATTGTTTTTTATTTTCATTGTTTTATACTATGTTTTAAATTTTCAATTGTTATAATTTTACATTTTACTGTTTTAAGATGCCCAGAGTAACCCTATGGTGAGATGGGGTGCAAATAAATTTAATAAATGAATTAAAATAACACTTTCTTCCATTCATCTAATACAATTACTTCTAATTTATCTATAAAATATTCATTTGCATTGTTAAAACCTCAGAACAAAATAGTACAATTACAATTACATTTACATTAAAATCATTACATTGCAATTACAACTACATTACTCATTATATCCATAGGTATATATTTTTAATTGGTAAAACAGACTTGGATTGATATGATTTTTGGTATGGAGGAAGAAAGAGATTAGTATTTAATAAGCATATAGAAGGCAATAAAAAGGCAATAACAGTAAAAATGAAGCTTTACTGCCTGATAATATAATATTATTTCTAGTACAGCAAAGATAGGATTTAATTAAGGAAGCAAGTTTTAACACTTCTTTCCTTTTTTTCATTTAAGCAAATGTGCTTTTTAAAATAATCATCATAGTTGTACAGGTAGTTCTCAAGTTACAACCACAATCGGAACCAGAATTTCTGTTGTTAAGCAAATGAGTTGGGCCTAATTTTATGACCTTTTCTGCCACAGTTGTTAAATGAATCACTGCAGCTGTGAAATGAATCACATCACGGTCATTAAGCTTATCAGTTTCCTGCATTGACAAAGTCCTTGTCAGAAGCTGTCTGGGAAGTTCTCAAACGGCAATCCTGTGACCCTGAGATGCTACCACCATCACTAATACATCTCTGTTGTCAAGCATCCAAACTCTGATCCTGTGATCATGGGAATGGTAGAATGGATGTAATGCGAGGACTGGTTGTGAATCATCTTTTTTCAGTACCATAGTAATTTTGAACAGTCACTAAAAATGGTTGTAAATCGAGGACTACATGTAATAATAACATATATCTTTTTGTATAAGAATGGATCTTTTCTTTTATGTACACTGAGAGTGTATGCACCAAGACAAATTCCTTGTGTGTCCAATCACACTTGGCCAATAAAAAATTCTATTCTATTCTATTCTATATAGTCTAAGAAGCAGACAAATTTTGCTATTCAGTACGAAACATTATTTTTTGTATAGGAAAAGAATGCTCAATAGATCTGCTATTGGAAATCCATGATATTGTCAGAAAGAATCCTCCTTTCAGTTACAGATCCATTATTGCTCAAGCAGGATAATCTTTTAATAAAACATTTTCAAAGCCTTATGTTGCTGTATAATTGAGCTGAACATGAGTAAATGATTTCAGCAGGCTGGGGAAGCAGGAATTACTCTATAGTTACTCTCACATGAATGCCTGGAAATGAAATTTGGATTCCTGAAACTCGTTGTTGTTCAGGGTGCCAAACATGAGGTTTGATTGGTGCCTTATCTCCGCTTTTTCTCTGCTTTATTCAAGGACGTCCCATGAAATGGAGATGACCCACGCAGAAAAAGAAGCAAATGGAGTAGACAATCCCACTTTTATTGTAAGTTTATATTTTCATTTTAAATTAAATAACTATATAAAAGAGTTTCAATCACATAAAATAAAAAGCAAGAATGATGTGGGCAATAGTTGGTGTCATATGCCATCACTCGATCGGTTTATTGTAAAAAGTATGCTTTTCCTCCTGAGATCTAACAGAACGGCATTTGGCACATTCAGATCTAAGCTGTAACATTTACTGCTTGTATTTCCCTTTTTTTAGTCTGGAAAAAAGTAGGAGAAAGGACTGGTATTCATTTTAATATGTGTCCTTCCTCCTATTTTTGTCAGGTTATTAATTCACTATAAATCAGATATTGTAATTTCCTTCTCGGTTTTTAGAAAAAGATAATGTATTATTTCTTGCTATTCACAGTCTACCTAAAATAGAACAAACTGTGACAAATATAATGTTACAATTTCTCTCACATTATATGTTTGGAGTTTTTTAAAAATACCATTTCTCATCAAAAAAAATCTTGAAACAGTTTTAAAGCCTTTTGCATGTTCTTTCTTTCTTCCTTCTCCTACTCCTGCATGCCATTTATGTAATACATTTATAGCCATTTAGTTATATTTTGAAATTTGTAGTTCTCTGAATTTAATTATTTCCTTCGTTTTTATTTTCTCCTTAAATTTTTGTTGTCTCTTTTACATTATCTGTCAATGTGGTTCATTTCTATGTGTCTATTGATAGCTGATTTGTTGGAATGCTAAGCTCCCAGGAATTCTCTAACAGTTTTGATTTGTCTTGGTCCAGGATACTCTCAGTTTCCCAGTTAAAATTGTTGTTGCGTCTACTCATGTGTTAAGAGGCTAAGGAGTTTTCATCTTGTCTTCTGACTGCTAGTTGGTGTTCATGGATATGCCCTGCTAGTCTTCTGCCTGTGTGTCTACATAGTGGCTGTTACAGACTTTACACTCTATGTTGTAGATGACGCCCGATTTTTCTTTTTTCTTTTCCTTGTCTTTTGATTTCCTTAAGATGTTTTGGAGGGCTTTAGTTGGTGTGTGTGCTACAGTGCTGTTGTGTCTTTGTATTAGTTGTTTTCAAAATGTTTTTGATGTATGATAGTGTTATCTTTTTTAAAGCTTATATTAGTTGTCTGGTAGTTGTTTGAATGGTCAGGCATTTTTTGATAAAGTTGCCTGGGTATCCATTTTATTGGAAGATGTTGTATAGATGGTCTGTTCCTCTTCCTGATGTTCTGGGTTGCTATAGTGGGTTTGTGTTCATTGTAATACTTTTTTTATACAGCTCCTCTTGTGGGAGGTTGGTTTGTTAATGTGGTAATGAAGCACTTGGTTAGTGTCAGTTGAACCCTGAGCTGCATATATTCTCTTGGTATGAGAAGATTCATTGTTTCTGCAGACTGATGATGGTAAATATTGTAACTTCACTGAAGATGGTGCTACAGTTCTAGACTATGAAGAAAAACCAGAAGACTTCAGCAGGCAAGGTGGTAACAAGCTGGCATACACTGTCACAGATATACCTCCATGGCATCTTTGCATCTTCCTGGGAATTCAGGTAAATCTTCAAAGAACAAGTTAGCTGGGAATTCTTGGCAGGGGTATGTTGTGCAAAAAGGTGAATAAAAATGTGAGTCAGCTAACACAATATAAGGATGTCTGTCAGGCAGACAGTCTGTGTCTGCCTGCTGCCTACTATAATCTCTCTTTCTCTCATCTATCAATAATCTATCTATCTATCTATCTATCTATCTATCTATCTATCTATCTATCTATCTATCCATATCTATATCTATCTATCTATCTATCTATCTATCTATCTATCTATCTATCTATCATCTTTCCTGCAGTTTTCTTGGCAAGATTTTCAGGAGTGGGTTGCCATTTTCCTTTTCCTAGGGCTGAGATAAAGGGACTAGTTCAAAGTCACCCAGCTGGCATCATGCTGGAGATGGGACTAAAACTCATGGTCTCCTGGTTTCCAGTCCACAGCCTTTAACCTCTACCCCAAATATTTAAATATAAACATAAATAAATAAAAGAACCTGGGAGTCTTTTATTTGTCTTTACAAAGTATTAAATTTATAGCAGCAGAGATTTTCCTGTCAACTTAGTGCAAAATCCTGTCAGTCACTTCAAGAGTAAGCTGGGCAACTTATACATTTAATGAATAAATTTTAGAAAATAAATATTTTTGTATTTCTGAGGCTGCTTCTAATTTATTGTTGTCCCCTTCTTTTTGACCGTGTATCTTCACCAGAAGAGAAATTAATTCCTAGTTTTGTCTAAGTCAATGAAGTATGACAACGCAACTGCCATGCCTTGCATAACTGAGCATAGGGATTTCTGTTCTCTCTTTCTATCGCCTGAGGTCTTTGACAATACTTCACCTGTCTCGTCTTGTTTATGTAGAAAATGTTACTAGATCCAGCATACTGGCAAAGCATTATTAACCAGTTCTTTGAAGAAGCAGTTTTTGGTTATAAGTCACTTCTTCACACTAACCTGAGTATGAAAGCTGAAACTGGGACATAGGGGATTCATGATGAGAGTTTCTACCATTCTACACCTTCCTCATTCTGGAGATAGAGTGCTACTAGTCATCACCCATATAGCTAATCACACCCTAAGCAGGTTTAGAATGTGTACTTATGGAGAAGGAATCATACTAAAATGCACTAAATTGTTTGGATAGATTAAATGTAAGCAATTCAAGTTATCAAAGGAATTAAATCAATTCTGGTTTCAACTGGGTAAATGTATTGTTTCAACTGGGTAAATATATTTCAAAAATCAAATAGAGGTTCCACCAAGGACTCCACAAGTGATTACCTAATTTAAATGCTACGAATAACTTATGAAGCAATTCACAGGAATGTACATGAAAAGAAAAACATCTATTGTTTCACAGTATGGCCTAGTTTAAACTTAATTCCTTGTGAGCTGCTCAAAAGCTCACAAAGCTGCTCATAAACTCAAAATCCACAATGTAGAGATTTCTGCAAGGAATCACCTTCCAGTTGGGAGATACTTCAGAATTTAACCTAATGCAAAGTACCATGCTAGTCTAGGGAATCTTTTGTATGGTATAATTAATAGTTTGACATCTACATGTGATTCAAAATCTTATATGAGAAATCCCATCATCCTTCAAAGTACTTTCTGCCATTTGAGTTGAAATACGGTATCAGTTTTTTAGCTAAAATTTATTTGAGTTAGTTTTTATATGGTCAGAGGACTTCTGGCAGATGGTCAGTTCTGTCCTTTGATAAGATAAGACAGATGCCACCCAAAAGTCACAGACCATTCAGTCCATTGCATAGTTTGGATGGGAAATGGAGATACAAAAATGTGAATTTTGATCTCTCTGCAAATAGGATTTCTGGTATTTCCTGATTTCATTGTCATCAGTTACTGCAACAACACATAGATTTGTCAAATTGAGGGAATTTAATAGAAAAGGAAGGTCAGCAGAATGAATGCTAGCTATCACTGTGGCCTTGGGTTCTATGATAGTTTAAGTTTTCTCTTCTATTTTTTTTTTCTAATTGTAGGCATTTAAACTTCACTTTTCTTTATAGTGAAATGCACTGAGACTTGCAAAAGCAGTAAACTAATTTAAACAGTAAATTTGATCATAAAAACAAGAACAGGCTAAAGTACAAAGAATTTTTTTTTTAAAAAAAAATCACATCAAAAGTTTGGTGGTACCATATCTGAGGCTTAAAAGGGGAGGAGCTTATAATATTTTAAGATGGTCTTTTATAATATAGGCACCACCACACAAAAAGTATTGTTTTATGCACTCACCATTACAATTGGTAAGCAGGACTCTTTTTCTCTTAATTGCATTTCTTCCCTCTTCTCTGTTTCTTAGCATTACCTGACTGCACTTGGAGGTCTCGTCGCAATTCCTCTCATCCTTTCCAAATCACTTTGTCTGGAGCATGACACTCTGACACAAAGTCACCTGATCAGCACCATATTTTTCGTCTCAGGGATCTGCACTCTTCTTCAAGTTATCTTTGGAGTAAGGTAGTCATATATATCTACAGCATGATGTCTCTTTTTGATTACATCTACCCATCCCATCAGATTCAGCAGGAAGGGCATGCGCAGGTCCCACCTGTTAAGGAATTCCATCTGGCGGGACCCAGAAATTGTGCCTTTTCTGCTCTGACTCTTACTAGAACAGTGATGGTTAACCTTTTTGGTGCCAACTGCCCAAAGCACGCACATGCACGTGTGAACGCATGTGTGCGTGCCCGGCCCCCAAAATGCAATGCAAGTGCCCCCCCCGTGCATGCACCTCGCCCCCCCGTTTTGGTTTCCAGGTTGGTGCAGGAGGCTTTCCAGGCCCAAAACAAGGTGCAGGGGGGTCTCGTACAACACTCCCATGCCCCGTTTTGGCTTCCAGGTTGGTGCAGGAGGCCTTTCAGGTCCAAAATGGGGTGCAGGGGGGGGCTGTGCGCATGTACGAACTCCAAAATACAATCTGAGTGCCCCCCATGCATGCCCTCCACCCTCCCATGCATGCGTGGCAGAGACCTGAAGTCCAGCTGGCCGGTGGGAGGTGCGCTCGCATGCATGGTGGAGCTGGGCTGGGGCAACGGCTGGCATGCCAAGCGACATGGCTCCACGTGCCACTTCGGGCACGCATGCCATAGATTTGCCATCACGGGTCTAGAACTTCATTTCCACCCCACCCCCAAGGTGAGGTTAATCCCATTTCTTTTAGCATTCAAGAAAGTCCTTAAAATCTGGTTTTCCTAGCAACTTTTGAGGATGTTTGGAAGCCTGCATGGTGGTTGTATGATGTTGGGTGATTGTTATTCTCCTCCTATCTTGGATTTTTTTTATGCTTTCATTTTTAGTCATTTCCATGACCTGGATGACTGAGAATCTCCATAGACATTAAGATTGTTATATTGTTCTAATTGTGATTGTGATTGTATGTCACCCAGAGTCACATTTTCAAGGACAAAAACAGCACTGGTTGCGTTTGTAGATAATCTCTGACAAGGGAGGGATGAAGGTAGTGTATACAATCCTTGCTCTCTTGGTGGCTTTCAATACCATTGACTGCACTGGTATACTTTGGGGCCAGTTGTGGGGCTGGATAGCACAATATTAAGATATATTTCTGCTAAGTGGCATATTTTTAACAATACTTATTTAAATTACTTGGTCTGTTGTGTGGATGTTTGGGTGGTTTAAGGGTGGGGAATTGTGATGGGTGGGAGTATGTTTGGGGATTGTTATGTGTGTTGGACCTGGTCTTTGGGTGTTAAGTGAATTTCGTTGTATGGGTATACTGTGTATACACGTACAATGACAATAAGGTTTTGTTGTTGTTGTTGTTATATTATTATTATTATTATTATTATTATTATTATTATTATTATTATTATAGAAACTTTTTATCCACTGTTTCCAATAGGAATTAACAAAATCTTATATGGGGCTCTTAAAGCAATATAACGATGAGGAATTTTAAAGCAGAGGTAGGGTTTTATCTTCTTCCTTACATGACCTTACAAGGAATGTCACCAGTTTAGAAGAACGTTAAGGTCCATTTATCCATTCATATGATCATGGAGGGAATTTAAACATGTGCTGTTGGAATGCAGTGGCTACTTGTATTCCAAAATGATCCACCCTATTTCTTTGACATATAACCTTCCTTATATTTGCCTCTTGAGTGTTAAAGGACATGCATAACCTGGTCTTTTATTTTTTTGGATGAAAAATTTAGCTCATTAATCTGAGACGTGCTTTATATGGATCACCTTTCCAGGCTTAATTTTTCTGCAATAAAAATCACACATATCCACAAACACACATTTTTGTTTGCAATACAGAATAAATAATGATTTTGGAGTGATTTTTTTGTTTGTTTGCAATACAGAATAAATAATGATTTGGGAGTGATTTTTTTTGTTTGCAAAACAGAATAAATAATGAATTGGGAGTGAAGGAGAGATTTTCTGCAGGAAAATTTGTTCCAGATTATAATCCAGGTTAAGAACTATTCCAGTTTAAAGCCCTGAGCTGTCTTCTTCTCAAATGCCTTTTCTCCAGATTAAATGAACTTTTTAAAAATAAAAACAAAGAAATATATAGGATCAGGTGAGTTAAATAGAGTCCAAATCAGGCTGAAAATCCTGACACGCCTTAGTTCATCTGGATGATTCGGTTTTAGTCATTCTAGCATGAGTTTCTGCCTTCAGTCCAGCCTTAGGAAAATATAAAGGAAAGTACTTTGGACCTTGTAGCGAAAAGCAAAAACAAACTTAAGAAACATAAGGGCAGCTGGGCAACCATCTGCGAATAAATTTTTAATGAAAATTTCCTTTTTTAAATGAATGAAACTAAATCTGTAGATACAACCACAAAATTTACTGGGAACTAGAATCAAAAGAAAAGAATGGAAGGCAACAATCACTCACACAGTTCTAAACAAAATCAGTGCAGACAGCCTAACTAAACTATGTATTTATACCTGAGATGAATAGGCTCTTGGGATTGAGGAGACGTTTCCAGTTCATTTAATTGAGGAATACTTTGAAATAAATAATCTGGACTTCTGCTTGGATGCTATTATGGAGATCTTCCTAAATCTTGCTGTGCCAAATGAAGCAAAAAGTTCTATCTCAGTGTCTTGACTCTAGCTAACAAATCAGAAAATTATATACTGTAGCTGCATTGAAATAAAAGGTTAGAGATAGAACTTTAATTTGGATATGCAGTATGCACAAAACTGGGATTAGACTCAAAGGCCTAAATGGCTAAAGGTAGTCCTTGATTTATGACAATAATGAAACCCAGCATTACTGTTGTACATCATGATGGCCATGAGCCAAGGCATCCACGTGACTGACCTGATTTTACAACCTTTTTTGCAGAAGTCATTAAGTGAACACCGTGATCATTAAACAAACTCATCATCCACAATGGGAGTTTTTCGCTGGAAACTGAAAATAAACACTAATTTCCAACAAAAAAAAATGTCTTAAATTGTGGCAATATGACCATGGGATGTGGCAAATGGCCATAAATTCGAGCACCCAAAATGCAATCAAGTGACTATGGAGGGAGCCTTCCATTGGAATTTTGAATCTGGATCATAAGTACCAGAGTGAAATGCTATCGGTTTGGACCAGTTCGCCCAAATCAGTAGTAATAAAAGCTACCGGTTCAAGCAAACCGATAGTAAAAAAAATGCTACTGGTTCAGACGAACTGGTATTTCCGACAATCAGCTGTGCCACACAATTTATATTTGCTAGAAAGCAGGAAATCCTGCTTTCTAGCAAATCTAAATCGCTCAGCACAGCTGTTCTCCCCCTCGCTGTTCTACTTACCTTAGAAAAGGCTTCTTAATCCTCCTTTTTCAGACCTGCGCAGTAGTGCCTGTGTTGCACCTGCGTGAAAAGCGCTTGTTTGGCATGCACCACACATGCGCACACGCAGTGAACCAGTAGTGATGCGAACCGGTAGCAGACTTCAGAGCATTTTACCCCGATAAGTACCTTTTGGGGTGGTAACTTCAGATGGTCACTAAGTAACTGATCATAAGTCAAGACTACGTATATTTTCAACTCTATAGATTCTTTGATATATCTTATTTATTTATTTATTTATTTATTTATTTGTTTGTTTGTTTGTTTGTTTGTTTCCATTTCTATACCGCCTTCTCCAAATGGGACTCAGGGCGGTGAACAGCCAAAGTAAAAAACAGAGCATACAAAATTTAAAAAACAGTATTAAAATAATTAAATATTTTGGCTGTAAATTAAAACAACCCAATTTAAAATCAATTTAAAATTTAACTCAAGCCAGCCCAGCTTGAGCAATTTCATATCAAGCATCTACTACAAAAATATCAATGTAATCTCAATGTCAGAGTTCCAAGTAACAACCCCAAAGCAATTAAAACTCTGAGGGCGTTTCCTCAAAGCATAATGTCAGAGTTTAGGCAGCATAACTAATATTATGAGATAAATCCAGGAGCAAAATACAGCACACAGAGCCTTTAGACACGGAGAGCAATGAGATACACGAAGAGAGAGAACATGAGGAGAAGGGAGATGCCCCCTAATGGCTTCCCTTATATAGGCAGCTTTTTACGCAGCTTCTTAAAGTGGCAGCAACCCTGCTTCCTCACTCCCATTGCATCAGCTTTCAGTTACTTCCGCTTACAACTTTCCATCAGTTTACAGCTATTAAATTTACATTCCCTGATACATAATTTTATTTGGGATGTCATATTGGCACAGCTGATGAAAACCCGACTCTGAAGGACCCAGGGTTTTCCCCATCCAAATCAAAACCCAAAGTTCTTGCCCCCAGGCCATCACATGGTCCAATCAGGTCGCAATCCCAACTCTGGCTGGCTTTGGTCCACGCCCTTCCAATACCTGGTAAAGCGTCCTTGGCTCCCATGGGAAAGAATGCTATTTTGGTTCCACATCCCCCAGCTATCTCTACCTCCCCCCTCATGTTCCCACAGCTCTACCCGGCCTTGCTGTGGCAGCCCTGAAGATGCTCCTGAAATGGCTTCAGGGCTGACACTCAGTAAACTGAGTCATAAATGCTCTTGATATAAAATGCTTTGAAGGATTCTATATTGAAAAACAAAATAGTTGGCTGTCTTGGGAGAAAAAAAACATGCCTATAGAGGAAGAGCAGTTCAGTCAAGGAAAGGCAAATTCAAATGAAATATTAGGAGTTTGACAAGTAGTATTAGAGCAGATCGGTTAGCCAAAATGAAGCAGCTTCAGAGTTCCCTTTGGACAACTTTTAGAGAGTATCATGAGACTTTTTTGAAAGGGACATGTGTTGCTCTGTATGCATCTTTATTTTTTTTGAGAGTGAAAGAGAAGAAACACAGCAGAGTAATTCTCTGAAACAGTTTTTTCTCTACCCAACAATGAAACTTTCAGAACTGGGCAACAAATGCCCTTTGTTTAGAATAAAGATTCTAATTTATTTAAGACTCCTTTCCCTTCCTCACTCTCTCAGGAGATTTTCAGT